ATTAAATTAAATCTATATTTAATTCTAATTCTAAATTAAATAACATTTTTTATCTTCAGCCTATTTTTGGTTTTTGATCCCACGACCCCATTCCAAATTTAGTATGATCCTTAGCCCCAAAGAGCTCTGTACCCCAGATGTTAAATGAATGTATCTAAATATTGTGACTTTTCAACACATTTTGGTATGCTGACATAATACATAGTGGTCTAAATATTACAGGGCAGATATTTTATTGCAAGTGTTTAGCAGGATACTTGCTTTTAAATAATATATAGTTAGTTTTCTCTAAACTCAACTTTATATAGCCAATAGTGGATAGATGGGGATATGTGAAACTAATCTCTTATTAGTGTCTCACTCAATTTGCTCATGATTCCTGTTTTTAAAGATTTTTTAAAATAGTTTTTGCTTCTGAAATATCAAGTAGATACTTAAAACAGTATGTAAGTAAAGTTTCCATATGGTATTATTTCATATAATACATTTGGTAGTTTTGAACCTTACTTTGGTCTTCAAATAATTTATTTTTGTATTAAAATTGCATGCTTGAATAGTTTGGACATTTACCATATTTTTTGCACTGTAAGACGCTCCAGACCATAAGACGTACCTAGCTTTTGGGGAGGAAAACAAGAAAAAAAAATCTGACTCTGCTTCCCAGAAAATTGCCTTCTTACAGCAAAAAGCCTGGTCAGCTTCAGTACAGCCTGATTTAGCATGAGCAGCTAATTGGTGGTTAGATCAGCCTCCCAGAATACCACCGATCAGCTGTTCCAGGCTGTGGGGATTGCCGCCTCCGCGCATCCCGTTTTTGGCCTCTGCATGTCCTGTTTTCGGCCCATTCCAGGTGGCAGGGATTGCTGCCGCCGATCACCGCCATTTGGCGGTGGCAAACAGTGGTGGCAATCGGCAGGGGTGGCAATCCCCACCGCCTGGAGTGGCCCAAAAACTGGACACGGTGAAACTGAAAATGGGGTGCAGGGAGGCCAAAAATGGGCACCCAGAGGCTGAAACCTTTCTGGTTCAGTCACTGGTTAATACAACAATTATTGAAGCATGGTTCTTCTAAAAGCTGTTGAGGTGACATAATTTCAAAATGTTCAGAGTTAAATCAATGATGTGCAACTTTTCTTGGCCTTTGATTGCCATGCTGGGTTGTACTCTACAAAGTAATGAGTGGCACTAGGATAAAATGTACAATATAAAAGGTAAAGGTAAAAGTTTCCCCTGTCCAGTCATGTCTGACTATAGGGGGTGGTGCTCATCTCCATTTCTTAGCCAAGGGAGCCAGCATTGTCTGAAGACCCTTTCCATGGTCATATGGCCAGCATGACTATAAGCCAAGGTACATGGAATGGTGTTGCCTTCCCACCAAAGTGGTACCTATTTATCTACTCACATTTGCATGCTCAAACTGCTAGGTGGGCAGGAGCTGGAGCAAATAACGGGAGCTCACCCCGTCACACAGTGTTTGGGTTTCGAACCCAAAGCTCATTATCTTTAACTGCTAAGCCATCACACCCATTATACAATATATAAAGTGAAATATTAAGGCTGTGAAGTGTTTGTGTTTCACTTTGGAAATGGTGCTTTGAAACACTCTGGAATGCAAATGCAGCCCTGTTTGGGCATCATTAAAGCAGCATCTGTTTACCAGAATGTACAGCCAGTAAACTGTAGTAGAAGCCGCCCTCTAGCAGCTGTGCAAACCTGGAAAATCCGCACATCCACTTTAATGATATGCAGGCAGTTGCTGTATTTGCATGCATGTGAATTGTCTTTTGAACCGACCCTAATTATTGCACAGACCTATAACATTATCAACATAATTGCTTCCCATAATTATTTTGTGCTGTTGTCACATTATATTTTGATAGTGGATATTTGAAGTCCCTGGGTGCTGCACCTAAAGCTTTGGTGGACTCATGCTGATTTAAATCAACAATTTTAAATTAGGAAGAAACCAGGCCAATTTAAAACAAGTTCTTGCTAGTGTGATGCATATACTTTACATTGAGCCATGGTTAGAATGCAGCACTGCAGGCTAACTGACTTCTCGCTCCAGGAGTTTGATTCTGAGAGGCTCAAGTTTGACTCAGCCTTCCATCCTTCCGAGGATGGTAAATGAGGACCCAAATCCTTCCGAGGATGGTAAAATGAGGACCCATGCCGACTCTGTAGACTGCTTAGAGAGTAAAGCACTGTGAAGTGGTAAACAGGTAGTCCTTGACTTACAACCACAATTGAGTCCAAAATTTCTGTTGTTAGGTAAAACTTTCGTTAAGTGATTTTTGCCCCATTTTACGACCTGTCCTGCCACAGTTGTTCAGTGAATCATTGCAGTTGATAAGTTAGTAACATAGTTGTTAAGTGAATCTGTCTTCCCCATTGATTTTGTTTGTCAAAAGAGTGCAAATGATGATCACATGACCTTGGGACACAGGAACATTCTTAAGTATGAACCAGTTGCCAAGCATATGAATTTTGATCACATGATCATAGGGATGCTACAAAGGTTGTAAGTGTGAAAAATTATCATAAATCACTTTTTTCAGTGATGTAACTTTGAATGGTCATTGAATGGACTGTTGTAAGTTGAGGACTACCTGTATAAGTCTATAAATGCTATTGCTATTGTTTTATAATATTGCAAACCTAATCATTAACCACATTTTACAGCTAAATAGTTGGATACAATATTGTAGTGGTGCAGTCTTTGTATCATTGTTTCATAGTGAACTCACAATGCATTTTTTTAAAACTTACAAGTAATTATTTTAAAAGTTTCATAACTAGATTTTGAAGTTAAGATTTATAGGAGATAGAGTCCTGTACAATCTTACCTTCTTTTCTTTGTAATGCTGCTAATTTCTCCTACACCTGGCCTGACTTGGGCTCAAAATAAAGAAATATTGCCTATGATTAATAGGTTGATAGGTTGAGTAAGATTTAACTCTTTTGCCATTTATTTTTATCTGGTCAAAATGAAATGCTCATATATGGTAATTGAAATATAAATATTTGTATTACAATATATGAATGCTTCATTCATTTATATAAAAAATAATTCATTTATTTAGATTAGAGTAATAAAACACCAATTGAATAAGGTAAAATATATATAGATTTAACATGCATATACTGGTAATATTTGAGAATATTTTTCTAAAACTCTCCAGATTTTTTTCAAATTATTTCAAATTTATTCTTTTTATGATTAAGTTATTGTCTGCCTTAGCTGAAAGTATTTGTGTGTGAGAGACAAAGGAGGAATACAAATATGGAATTAATTGAAATCAAATATTTTTTTTCTTACAAATTGATTTGATACCCTCTGTTTTTCTACTTTTTTCATTTATCTCTTCCCATTTATTTTAATTGGGTCAAAACAACATATGGTAGTTGAAGCATAAATACTCATAATAGAATAAATCCTAAAATAAGCATTTTAAGGCTTGTGAGACTCCTCAACCTGTTTTTTAAACATCCAGTAAGAGAGGTATGGTCCGATTCCATCAAGTGCTGTCATCTAATGGGACTGGTCAGCCTTTCTAGGTAGACTGGACAGGAAACATAATGAGCTAATTCTGTTTTATTTTACATTTTTAGAATCTTCTAAGTCGAAAGTTCAAATCTCTCACCCTCTTTTTACAAACTGATTAAATTCTTTCGGAGTTTCTTTCTTTGTCCTTTATGCAGCTAGGAGCTCTCTCTTTGTCCCCACCACACAAAGTCATATCCACATCCCATCATAGGGACCCAGGTAGAGATCTGTTTATGATGTGGTGCCTACCATTTGAAACATCATTGCCCTAGAGATTAGACTTGCCCTGACTTTGGTGGCCTTTTTGTAAGATCTTGAAGAAAGGTTTTTGTTACCAAGCCTGAGGCCCTGGATTAAGCCTCTATCATGATTGTTGTGGCTTTTCTTGGCTTTTATATATGTTTCTAATTTTGTTACATTGTTTCACTGGATGTAGATATACTTGATAGATCTAGCTTTCACTGTTACATAGTAGAGATTAATTTGCCTGCATTGCTGATAATTCTTGAGGGTTTTTTTTAAAATTTAAGTTGTGCAAACATGAGAGATTTAAAAACTTTATTTTTCATTTTGAATTTGAATTTATTTTTTAGGCAGAGTTTTTTTTAAAAAAAAATTGTCTACCCAAAGTTGGTGGCAGAGGTTGTCCTTAAATGTTAACAAATTAAGCCTCCCCACAATCTCTGAGCATTGGTTGTTTTGTTGAGCCAAGCAACTTCTGGACTCTTATGAGACCACAGCTTCTAATTCTTATATTAGAATATTCCATAATGATATTAACAGATTCTGGTTTGTTTTTTTCTTTCATTTTATGAATATAGTATTTACATGCAATAAAATTGATTCTAAATTAAACCCCATTGCCTTATACCAGGTAGTCCTCATTTAATAACCACAATTGGGATTGTCAACTTCATCATTAAGCAATGCAATAAATAAGATACCTTGTGCACCCAACTTAAAACTTTTTTGCTAGCTTCTCCGTTGACTTTGCTTGTTGGAAGCTATCTTTGAAGCACACAAATGGTGATCATGTAATTGCAGGATATGGTGAAGGTCATAAATACCTGATGGTTGTGAAGCACCCAAACTTCTATCACGGGGGTGTCAAACTGGTGGGCCACTGGCCAGATGCATTACTCACAGGTCATGCCCACCATGGCTTTGCCAAGGCAAAAAAATGTCACGATGCATTGCGATATGTCATATGATGCGATCGAGTTTGACACCTGTGCTCTATCACATGACTGTGGGAATGCTATGATGGTCATAAGTGTGAAGGTTAGTCATAAAATTACGTTTTCAACCCCATCAGAACTTTGAATGGTGACTGAACAAGGACAGTATTAAGTGAGGACTAGGACTAGCTATTCACTTAAAAGATGAATTTAGTTCTATGAGGTTACTTTTGTGACACATTACCTTATCAACATGTTCTTCTGTTTATATGCAGGTGCAGGTGGGGCAAGCAGATATCCCATGTCCGATTACAGAGTGCAATGAACATCTGGATGAAACCACCATCCTCTTCAACTTGCCACATGATGACATCATCAAATATAAATACTTCCTGGAACTTGGCCGTATCGGCTCAGGCACCAAGCCATGCCCTCAATGCAAGCACTTTACAACCTTCAAGAGGAAAGGTCATATTCCGAACCCTACCAGAATGGAGAACAAGTACAAAGTGAGCATGCTCACACAAGTTATGGATTAAATGGCAGAGTGTGACCAGCAAAATTAGGCCAGGATATGGTGGGCATTTAAATGGGATTTCTTCTCTTACTGGAATCTCATGTAAGCTGTGTTTTTAGACTACAAATATGTAGCTTCATACCCAGTATTAGTCAACAATTAATCTATCTGGACTAACTAGTCAGATGCCATGTTAATCCTTATGTTTGTTATGTCTTTTTGTCTACATTTGGAAATGGCCATCTGGCCTGCAATATTTTATGAAGTTTGGCAGTTTTTACACTCTGAAGTATTTGGTGGTCTTTGCAATGTTTATTTTAAGTATTGTACTATATGAGTACCTAGCTGAATTTTACAAAGTTTCCAGCTTTACTTTTTTGATTTGGTACTGCACTGAAATTGACCATCGCAAAGTACATGGTGGACTTTACCTCTTGGGATTATTCTGATTTTTTCATGCCACTTCAGTATGAAATTCCATAAGGTATTTAATAGATTTTACCTACAAGAATGCAGAGATATAAGCTTAGTATAATGGGGCAATAATAGATAGGTTGTTATATGTGCAGAATATTTTTGGAAAAATACATACTAAAATATACATGGTAAGATACTGCATGTGCAGAATTCCAGATTATAACATTGTATATACATAAAAAGAATTATCAGTAATATAAGCATAGAGTTTTGTCTTAGACTTTTATTTTTAATAATGCTAGAGTAATTTAAAAGATTATATAATAGTAAAAACAAAATTTGGAATCAGTGGTTCAGTGATCGACAGGATCAGGACTACAAATTAGAGACTGGTAGAGAAATGTAAAACAAATTTTCTTCTTGTAATATTTAATGTGGTTCTGATATATTATTAACTCATAGTTCAAACACATTGGTATGCTCATTGATTTTAGAATTTTCAGTTGAAGATAATTCATTCCCAGGAGGATACAGTAAGTACTAACTGATATTTAAGGTTCTTTTTTTTTAAAATGCTCAGATGGTATGTAGGACGTTTTGCTAGCTTGTTTTTCAACATAGATCTTCGTAGAAGCCCCACCAAAAATTAAGTGATCAAGATTTCTTCTACATAACACCACTGTTTTGTTGGTTGACCAAAATTGAGATTATCAGTCAGTTTAAGTAGAGTTAAATGTTCCAGTGCCTTTCTCACTAACTATTATTGATAGGTACACACTTAGACATGAATAATGTTATATAAATCACCTGGAAATAATTCCTTATATTCCAAAAATGTTTTTCAAAAAGTGCAGGAATACAAATGTAGCCCTCTTTAAAGCAACTGACTCTATTTACAGAAATATATAGCAGCTGTACAAGACATTCACATGATCCTTGGAAAAGATGCCTCTGCTTTAAAAAGTTTCAGACAATGTTCTCATATTCGCTAAAAGGATTTTTTGGAACTGAATTGGAAACTCTGTACAACCCTAATGTTTACATTTTAATATAATATTTATTAGGTTGTATTTTATAATCTTAGTATTTCATCATATCGATAATATAAAATTAGTAATTAATTAGATAAAAGCTCAGTGTTCTTGGGAAAAGCACACTTTTTGAAAATATTTTTATAATACAGGGCATTTAATGAATGTATCTTTTTTGTATTCTTAATTTTTGTTTTAGGACTAATGTACTTTATATTCTACATTCTCTCTTGAATTAATGTTTTTCTTAAATCACATTGAAAGGATTACAAAGCAGATTCAAAGGAATGTGTTATTGACTTGTATCCTTACTCATCCCTCGCCTTCATTTCTTAAACTAATCTTCTGTATTCTGTTGTTGTCTAGACAATATGGCAAGCACATTGAGTAATGCTGCTTTAAAGGCTTCCCCCCCACTTAACTTCCTAATAGTTGCTATGCCTTGCAAATATGTAACTTGTTACTATGGACATAATGACCAACTCTGATTTAAGAAAATCTACAAATGCTTGTGAGCTTTGGACCATAATTTATTCAGCTCATGATACCTGAACTATTTTGTGGAATTATCCTTTGGAAATCCATTATATTTTAAGAAAATCAAAATTAAATTTGCATGTCAGTTGTTCGTGAACGACTGTGGAAAAAATCGGTCAGTATGACATTAGGGTGGGTGTATCTTGTTTTCCTAAAATAAGGCTTGAAATTTACAGAGAGTTTGGGTGTATGCTTGAATTACAATTTGTAGATTTCTGTGCAGTCCTCATGTCAGCATATAATAGCATCCTCTCCCCCCATTTTTACACACAACATCAACCCTGTCAGATATACTAGGTTAAAAAGCAATGTGAAACACAGTTGGAAAAGAAAGTCTTCACACATAAAACCTTGGGGATAGGCAATCTGGTGCCCTCTGGATATTGTATATTGCAAGACTTGTTTCCCTAATCACTAACTGTGCTGATTGAGTTGAGGAAAATTAAATCTAAATCATCTGGAGGAGCCAAGCTAAATCTTAGGTTTATTGAGTATGACATGGAATACATGGATAGCAGTAGTAAGGATGTAGAGAAGGAACACATTATAATATGATACACATACAATGAAGATTGCATTGGTCAGTTTTGTAAGGTATAAGCAATTCAAGAAGTTATATTTTGAGTTAGATTTTGTATCCTATTAGATAAACTGTAAGGTTGTACAAGGCACTTTATACACTTTATAAAGCACTCTATATAGCACTATAAAGTATTTGTAGCCTTACAAAGGATCAAGTGTTTGATTCAGTGGTTTTCCTAGGCTGTGTGTGTGTGTGTGCATGCATAGGCATCTGTTCCATAGAGTATACTAGCAAAGTTGCTTGGCTTGCAGACACTTACTGAAACAATCTGGAATAGAACTTACGACATCTTTGCTGAGTCTTCCAGAAGATGTTGATACTTGGTACTTTGAATAGTGGTCTTTCATATGCTAAGGCACAGTATCTACACCTAATTTAAACCTTCAGTTGAAATGAAAGATAGTAAATGGCTTTTATTTTTGATGTCAGCAAAACTGAATCCTTAAAAAATCTCTGCAGAAGAAAAGCAAATCATATATATCAATATAAAATATAAACGTTTGCACAGATTTAAACATCTCTATTTTATACTGATATATATGATTTGCTTTTCTTCTGCAGAAAGATTTTTTAAGGATTCAGTTTTGCTGACATCAAAAATAACAGCCATTTACTATTTTTCTTTGAAACGCTTTACCATTCTTTGCATATAGAGATTTCTGCAATGGCTGATCTTGTAAGATTATACCAGCTGTTTCCTACACAGCCAAAAGGAGAATACTTTGTAGTACATAGTACATGTTAAGCTTGCAGTATAAATCTGTAAGTGTTATTTCCTTTTACTTCAATGTTTTATTGGTTATATATTTTGCACTTTTTCTATGCAAATGCACATTGCCAATTCATTAAAAAATACTTGGCCAGTTTAATGATAATAAAGAACTATCAGGTATAGCTCTACAAGCAGCTTATGTCTGACTAAGTTTAATTTGATATTAAAATTTATCTCATATTGTTCAAGTGACCAAATATCTCTGTTGCAAAAGTAGGTTTTGGTTGAACATTAAGAGCACAACTTGCTCAACTAGGTCATATTTACATATGATTATTAATATTTCAAAGGTCAGCTGCTTTTTTTAAGTTGCTGCATGTGAAGCAGAGTACAGCTGAACAGCTCCCACCAAGGATAGAATATTGCATTTTGGAAAAGCAGAAGACAAGGTTGAAAGGATAATTACCCAGTTGGTTACCTAATTTCTAACAAGAGGCCTAATCAAAGCATTTCCATTATTGATTAGTGCAAAAGAAAATGTCATGACTTGATTCAAACAATATTACGAATTTTTAAAATTACTGTATAACATATTCTGTTGAAAATATGATATAGGAATAGTGTATTTGCTCATATATATGTTACCAGGAGGAACATTCATTTGATTTATTGTGTCTTTTCTCTAGAAATTCATGTCAACACAGAAAGCATTCCATTTTTCTTTTTCTTTCAAATCTGGGATTATTGGGCTAAGAGATAGCAACTTGTTCCAGTGAGCTTTGGTGGCTGGGAGGGTCTTGCACATTGAAATCCCAATGCTGTTACAATTTAAACACAACATTTCACTGGGGTTCATTTATGTAAGAGGAAAATAGGGATTTATCTATGCCTCCTTGAACTCCTGAATGAAAGGCAACATAAACTCAAACAAATATAACTCGCAATGCTGACATCGTCAATAGCTATGGGAAGGAACTAGAACAAAAGAACTGTAGTTATGAGGTTATTCTTTGTGTGTCATACATTTTGCCTATTATTTCAAGCAGTAGTAGGACTTGGCCACATAGCACTCATCTATTATACATTAAAATGTGTTTCAAAAATTAAAATAGATCTGTATCTTGACCAGCAAGACATAATGAACTTGACCTCTGCTTCATTAATATTCTGCTAACAGCTTTGCTATATAATATTTTTAAAGCCTATATAGAGCTGTATAAATTCTTATGCATACAAAACCTCATGCAAGAGAACTGGCTTTGATCAGAGGTCATAATAGGATGCTTGCTGAAATCTTAATGGAATCTTACCAAGACACTTGTTCCATTGCAACAAATCCACAATCCTTATCATATTCAGGTTGTTGCAGACAAATAGCTATAGGGTTCTATTAAAATGCCTTCCGATATGAAAATAAATTTATTATCTTGATAGGAAAGATAAACATGTGACACCAGTTTTTTATTTGCATGTTACAATACAATGTAACAGAGCTGACTTTCTGAATTTTTATGAAAGTTAAAACCTGTTGGAGAGTCGTCACTGGACAAGATGGCAGCACATAAATAAATAAAGGCATAAAACAGGTGAGAAATAGAGGCAAGACTGAATGTGTTTGCCTATTTTAGGAGCAAAACACCTAAAGCATTCAACAGACGGTCTCTATTATTCATTTTATGAGATTTGCTTCCCTTAGAGGAAAAGTAAACATACACATACAAAGATTACTATGTAATTGTATTTGGTCCATAGTGCTTATTGAAAACTCAGATTCCTGTATTCTTTAAAGATTACCACCAAAATATTGTAAGAATAGTATTTAACACTATTACGTTTTCATGATGAAAATATGTTTTGAGGAAGATTTACATATGATATAAAGCGTGAACAAAATTCCCAGATGTCTATTATCAGCCAATGAACAAGTGCATTCTTCTTACTGTTTAAGATTTGTTGTAACATTTGTTGTCCCATTTGTTGTAAGATTGAAGGCATGTTCTTTCATTAAATAGGCTTTGATGACAATCCTATCTATTAGGGGTATAATAGATAAACTGAAGATCATAGCCTTTGATTGGCAGGCATTGGGGCCAAGGGGTGCAAGATTCCAAAAAGACAGTGGGCATCACCACGACAACTGTAAATTAATGTAAACATTACAATTTAGTTTTTTTAATTAACTTGGAAGAAAGCCTGTCTTCTATATCTACTGAAGCTTGAATATTGATTAGTGTTTTCTGATATCATTGTTCAATTGATTGATAATGAGAATTTCCAACTTTTTGTATATTTGTTCAATTTCCTAAGAAAAGCTGGTGCTCAATGGAAAGATAAATAAAATGAACACCATCGGCTAATAATAATAAACAGATATTTTATTTTTTGTCTTCCAAGTTTGGTTAGAGCACTAATATTAGTGATAAGAATAGGTTTTGTACGACAGTAGTTGGAATTAGTATGTGGTAGGGAGATAAATTATATAAATCAGCTTCCAGTGACCACACTCTGATTTCAAGAGAATTTTATTGGTTTAAGCTGTCGGCAAAGTTAATTCCTTATGAAATGTCTTTTTCTCTAATCGGTAAGGCTTCTTAAGAGCTTCATCTTAATGTGTGAGTAAATGAGAAGTTGCAGTATTATAGGTAGTCCTTGACTTACAGCAGTTCATTTATTGACTATTCAAAGTTACAATGGCACTGAAAAATGTACCTTATGACTGTTTTTTACAGTTATGACCTGTGCAGCATCCCCTTGGCCATGTGATCAAAATTCAGATGCCTGGCAGGTGGTTCATATTTATCACCATTGCTGTGTCCCAAGGTCATGTCATCATCTTTTGTTACCTTCTCATAAGCAAAGTCTATGGGGAAGCCAGATTCATTTAACAACTGGGTTATTAAGTTATTAACTGCAGTGATTCATTTAATAACCATGGCAAAAAGGTTGTAAAATGGGGCAAAGCTCACTTAACAACAAAAATTTTGAGCTCAATTGTGGTCTACCTGTATTAGGTGGTTTTTCTGATACATGCCTTCACCATCTACCTCTTTGTCATTTTTGTGCAAGGGGGAGCTGAGTTATGCTTTCCCAGCCTCATTCAATGGCCATTTGTTTAGATGTTTATTGCTTTATGCTCTTTACTTAAACAGATCCAGTGTCCAACCTGCCAATTTGTGTGGTGTTTTAAGTGCCACTCTCCTTGGCACGAAGGTGTCAACTGCAAAGAGTTCAAAAAGGGAGACAAACTGCTACGTCACTGGGCCAGTGAAATTGAACATGGGCAAAGAAATGCTCAAAAATGTCCAAAATGCAAGGTAAGAAGACAGTGCATGTTCTTGCAGTACCCTTTGAGGTGCCTGGGCAAAGTCAATTAGTAGAACTAACACCTACTAGGAAACAAACTGAGAAAACCAATCCCTTTCATCTGTTGACATTACAGTTCTTATCACCCTTTTTTATTGAACCAATGCCTTTTAGAACTGTGAACATTCTGTTTCTCAGGAAAAGAAACCAAATAACCTTTCCTTCCTTCATTTCCCAAAGTTTTTTTTAGAATAATCTAAGATACATTTAAATGGTAAGTTCTGAGGATACACTATTCTGGGTAATAATATTTGATAAAATATTTCTCTGTTTCAAGATATTACTGATTGGAAGTTGGAGAAAGAAATTTCAACTGAACTTCTTTGATGAAATCTATATTTAGCAATATTGAAAAACAGTTGTTTTTTTAAAAAAATATTAATGTTATTATGAAAGCTGAACTGAATTGCCAAGGTTGGTCCCATGTTTCTTAAAGACCAGTGCAATACAGTGTTATGTGAAAATGTTTTTTAATTAAAATCATTTAACACTTTTGTATAATTTTTTAAATTTTTTTCATGACAGCATTCTTTTTTAAAAAAAAAAAAAAGTTTGCTTTTAACAGGTGAATTACAGTGTAGTTTAGTTTCCGTACTGTACATGAAGTGTCAATGATATTTTCAGAAATGAACATCATCCCATGACTTTACCAATTTGGAGCTTCCTTTTATTACTCAACATCTTGAAATAAAATGAACAAATCTTGCAAAATTTTAACCCCCCAAATTTTGAGGAAATCACTGTTTGATGGTTGCTTTCTTTCCCATGGAAGGCTGAGTCAACCTTGAGCCTGATGAGATTGAAATTGCAAAATTTCAAGCAGCCAGTAGTCAGCAGAAGTATCCTGCAGTACTACATTCTAACCAATGCACCACTGTGGCTCTTAAATAAGTAAGATATATTGAAAAGTTGGAACATGAAAATTTATTTTTCAGGAGCTGTCCGAAAGTTAATGAAACAGTGAGACTCTTGCATTAATTTAAGTAAAATTAATGCAAAATGTTTGCAACAAAGTGCATAAATAGCTTTTAGGCAGTAAATAGAAAAATACTGTCATTAAATACTAGTCTGAAAATAAAACATTCTGATAATGCAGCCTGTATGCTAAACAGCTATTATTTCATTCATTTACGAATACAGAACTCAAAATCTGTCTGCAGGAATAAAATGTATCTCAAGTTTCTTCATTTGAAACTCAGTGAAAATGAACTTTCTACACACAAGAATTTTTATTGAGCAAACTTGTGCTTTATGTTCTAACGGTGATAATATGCTGCATGTTTCTACCAACTGGTTCTGCTTGTTTTTACAAACTGCATATTCATTATATAAAATCAAAGTGGAATACATTTTGGAAACACTTTGTCCTGATTTGAACATGACATTTCAAATTTTCAGCATTGTTTTCCTATGCATTCCTAGTGTTTATTATAACTAAATTAATCTATTGGGTTACTGCAGAAGAAGCTATAAATTATATCAAATGATTACTTCCTTAGGTTAGTTAGCAATTTGTATTTAGTCTGCAATTTTTATTTTTAATGTCAAGGTAAGGTTACTGTTTTAAAATTGTAAGTTATGAAATTGAGTACAGTACATAATTCAAATAAAGGGTTATTCAGGACTGTGATACCATTTCTCAAAGTTTTAAATACTGCTACATAAAAAGGAAGTACCTTAGCTTTCCAGTGATTTGCTACAGTAAATATGGTAGCTAACAAAAGATATTGAATTTATTTTTGTTATCTGGAAGGGGAAATTCACAATAAAGTGGCACTAGAATTAATTATCACATGCTATTTACCAAATTTCCTCAAAGGCTTTTGATCAAAATAAATAGTTTACCAGAAGTTGTATCAATTTGATCATAACTTTCAAGTGCAATTTAAAAATTCTTTGAAGATACTACAATTTTAAGGAGATGGATTTTAACAGTTGAATTATTTTATTTTTAATTCCTGGTTAAGTTATACAACTAGTCATGTGCTTTAGTAGTTTAAATTTTTAATACGTTGTGCAAAAATACTGCTTTGCTAACTTTCGGCATAATTTAAAATATTTTTGCTGTACTGATAGGAAATATTTTAAAATAAAAAATAAAATACCTAGAATCTTGATTTGCTTCTAAAAGGATAACATCGACACTTTAAGATATTCTTTATGACTTTTTGTATAAACTAAGTGATTATGTTTTGTTGATTTAAAATGATTAAAATAAATAATTATGACTTTATATATTTTATTTTTTTGAATCTAATTAGCCCATTTGTTTTCTGTTTTATTATTGTGAGCCACTCAGGTTTCCAGTTGGGACAACAGACCAAATAATAGATAAATAGATAAACAGCTAAATAGATTTGCTCAATAATCAAACATTAATAAACTAGAAATACAATCAATTAAGAAAAAAAATAGAACCAAGTTTTCATTGAATTTGCTGGGGACATATATGTATATGTGTATTAAATATATTTATTTTAATATCCAAAATTTCAACCTTTCTAAAATCAGTTGTGTGCATCATAGAGTCTTTGTTGATGTTTATGTACTGTATATATGGGCATAGACTCATACTGTAAATTACCTTCCAAAACATACCAATGGCACTGTATAAATGTAAACCTATGACTTGATCCAAAGATTTAGGCAGAAAGTTTCTCTAGCAACTGTTTGGTAGTCTATGGGATAATAATTTTCCTCCTTGGCTGGGAATGAGAGGCTTTGAATGCTTGGGAATTGCTGAAAAGTCTTGTCAATTTTCTTGAATGTCTTAACTTTGCAGCATTTTGTTTTTTCTTAGATTTAACTTATAGTTGTGTCATTGTTGTAGAGCAAATAACCAGTCTCTTAAGTTTATGATTTTTTGTGGCTTTCAGCAGTATTTTAAAAACCTTAATTGCAGCAGCCTTTTAGCTTCTCCTATTAATACAACAGTAGCTTTCTTCAGAATTTGTTGGATGATTTGTCATAAAACCATTGACGTAATTAATGTTGGGTGGAATCTTTCTTTTTTTAAAGCAATTATTTTTATCCTTCCCTCCCACCTGTTTTACTTTTAGATTCATATTCAGAGAACAGAAGGCTGTGATCATATGACTTGCTCACAATGCAACACTAACTTCTGTTACCGCTGTGGGGAGAGATATCGCCAGCTTCGTTTCTTTGGAGATCACACATCAAACCTCAGTGTTTTTGGATGCAAATACCGCTACCTCCCTGGAAATCCACATTTAAGGAGATTTGTGAGAGGCTCTGTCTGTGGTAAGTGGGTAATAAAACCTTTTGGAAAATTATATCATCTATGAAGTAATTGCCATTGATAGGAACTCTGATGCTTATTGCTCATTTACATGTAGAATAATAAACATACTTCCTCTAACTATAAATTTTTGTTCCGAACATAAGATTCATTACCATGGGAATCTCTTCCTAAAGTATGTTTGTCAGGTTTTCTAATTCTGTGCATCTTGAGGTTGCATAAGGAATTGCACAAATGTGATTTGAACTTCTTAACAGATACATAATTAGATGCCAGTTATATATTTTGAGAATCTGACAATCTAGAACAGGGGTATCCAACCTTAGCAACTTTAAGAATAATGGGCTTTAACTCCCAGATTTCCTCCACAATAGAATGGAGAAATTAGATCTGCTAACATAATGATGGATTTATCCTAATATTTTCTATGCATTTCAGATTTAATTTTTTTAAAAATGAAAATCATATTGCATCTATAGAAAATAATAAACAACTAGGCTTACCCATTTTCTATTTTTCTGATCCCATTGCCTCCTTAATTTATCCCAGCCCCTCGTCTCTGTTTCTATATGGGAGATGCTCCCATACAGTCCCCTTGACTTCCAGGAGAAGTTAAAATAAATTGAATAATTAAATAAGCTTAAGGGGGGTCTCATACTTGCCAAACGTTGTGTTCCTATTACAAATAATGAGTTTCAAGCTACAGGGGTTTTGTCCAGATCATGATGCCCCCCTGTTAGAAAAATAGAATGGTTATATGATGTATTGATTTTTTTAGTGTTTTAATGGAACTTTCATAATACGTATCAGAATCAGTGATACAGGGTAGCGTAGCAGAATAGCTCTGTTAGAACTTTTTATTTCTTTTGCCAGGTTCTTAGGTATGATGTAGCTTGCCTTTACAAGATCATGATGGAGCAGCAAACATAACAACCTAGCAGCAGAGTTTAAAATAAATTTTAAAAAAATACACTGGATGTTTTTGAAATATTTGTCTAAACTTAAGTGATGATTGCCTATGGTTCAAAGTTATTAAAAAGAAAATTTAAGGGGGAATTTCTTGACAATTTTACTGCATTCTTGGAAGGACCTTGCTTTTTGTGCTTTGATTTTATAGACATGCTAATCAGTACTAATATTGAGAAATGGGTAGAAAAGAAAATGTGTTAAGGAGACACATTAATAATAATACTAGTAGCTGGAACAGTAGTACATTTGATCTTGCCAATGTAACTCAATGAAATATGAAATAAATGTACTGACCATTCCATTAAACAATTACTGCAATATTAAGTGAATTGTCAGTGGAAGCTATCGTTCTTAGGTATGATGTAGCTTGCCTTATAAATTGAAGGGGGGAGGGGGGAATTTATTGACAAGTTACCAAAAGAACAAGTTTATTGACAAGTTACCAAAAAATGCATTTCTATCATGTATTGTTCCCTTTTCTGTATCTTCGTCTGCTAAACTATAGCATGGGGAACATCAAGAAGAAACATCTTTTTTAAAACTATCTGGCAAAGAGCAAGGTGAAATGTTAACTAATTTCTTTTTGCCCAGCTGCTTTGAAAATCAAAATGCTGTTCCAAACTTGCTGATGTTTTGGCCAAGACTGCATATCCCAGTGATGCTTTGGAAATTAGTAAAATGCAGTGCTTTCAAATGTATTAAGATATTAAAGCTCTGCAGAATCTGAATCCAATTAAGTGAATTAAATAATAGATCAGATGATGCATTACTGCTTATGTATTGTACTCAGAGGTAAAACAAACCACGGAATTCATTTCTTTATAGTGGGGGACGGAGCTACTTGGCATTCAACAGATTTCAATTGATTTAACTTCAGAGGAGATACAAAGATGTACAGATTACTAAATGATCATGAGTCCTTGTCCAAGCATAATCCTCTCTGTAATCAGTAGGAAATATGTACTCTTAAATAAGTCCAGGACTAAATTTAATTTCTCTAATTAACAAGGTATGCATACATCTGTCTAGGCAGAGCTAGGACAATTAACAAATTAAGCATTCTGAGAGCACATTTCCAATGCTTGTTGAAGTATTGTGTATATGAAGTATCATATTTATATATGATACATTGCTTGGAATTTTGATCTGGAATTACATTTGTTGTACTGGGTTTGGATAAAGGAGGGTTGTAAAAAATACTTCATAAGAGTGCTTTAAAAATCTACACTCGCATCACATTTATGTTGGAAGCACTGAGACACTTCGGGTTGAAAGGATTAGCTGGTGACATCACCAATGCCTGGGGATTACCACTTGGGGGCTCCTTTCAAGTCCTTGTTAATATGCCAGTCTTAGTGATACCTCTTTATCTTGATAGCATTTGCAGGTTTTCGAACTTCTAGGTGGCCAGGTGGACATACTACACTTCGACATGCAATGTGTAGGCAAGATTTTTAGATCTTGCTTCCCCCCCCCCTCAACTTCTCCCACATTATTTCACCACTATGTACATTTCATGCTTGTGAGCTGCTCATAGTGACACTGCACAACAGTCTGTTTCTGACAAAGAAAAGCATTAGAGACATTTCATAATTTGCCTGTTTCTGCTATTGTAAATTTCTGGTCCAGTGAAGAATCCCCAGTTGATTCTTGGGCAAGTTTTTTTGTTCATTAAATATTATTTATAAACCAGATAAGCCAACTGTCTCTTAAATATCAGAAAAGTCCATTTAATGCTGACAATAGATGAATAATTTGCAAACTGAAAATAGACTTGCTTCTGCAGTTGTGTTGTTGATTTTGTCATTGCAGATAGGAATATCATTTAATGACCAAAGTTACAAGGACCTCAGAAAGATGCTTTTCTGCCCATAAAGCACATTCATTGCAAAACGTCCACTGTATCCTCCCTCCACAGTCAAATGACCATATTTTGGGAATTTGACAACTGGCTAGTATTCGTGACTGGTTGCCAAGCACTGTACAATCATGTAATTGCCATTTGCAATCTTCTCTGCCAGCTTCTGCTGAAAGCCAATTGGAAAGTTCATGGGGAAGGTTGCAAGTGGAGGAGATGGAGAAGAGAGGAAAATCCTTGTGGGGCTGCAGGAATAGAGTTGAAACATTTGAGTTTGAAAGGGCTTCCTGCCAGGAGGATTTCAGCTCCACACAGAACTGAAACCCTCTGGCAAGCAGCCCTTTCACTCCCAAGGAACTGCCTGTCAGGAGGATTTCAGCTCTGCGCAGAGCTGAAATGCTTTAGCAGGCAGCTCTTTTGCTCTGGCCACTTAATGACCAGGAAATTGTTTAATTACTGCAACTGGAAGTGCCAAGATTGCGGTCATTGAACAAAGCAGTCACATAGTATCTAATTTAAGTACCACTGCATTCAACAACTGAGATTCTGGTCCTAATTGTGGTTGTAAGTTGAGGAGTATCTAAATATATTACTGTGCACATGCAAATGCATGTATGCACACATCCTTAGTTTTGTATCTTTGTTCAAATTCTCTTTTGAAGCACTTTATCCACTGTCTTGATTATCACTTTTCACTACATAACTGTTAAGGAGAAATTGGTGCATCCTATATACTTGTATACAGAGTCACTGGCAAGGAAAGCAAGGGATAAGCAAGCATGATACATGCATTTGCACTTTAAACTGCTAGTATAAGGTGTGATAGACAGGCAAATTTTGTGAGTGTATTTGCACATGGAGTGGTAAACATGAAGAGAAAGAAAGGAGATGGTGATTTGCATCTAGAATTATTAGCACAGAAAATATTTATTTGGATAGATAAAGAAGGTGGATCAGGCTAAGTAGGTAGAATAGATAGGTAGAGGTCAGCCCACTAGAATGCAGGATGCAGGTAAATGTCAGCTGACATGGTTGACTAGAACTACTTTTATTGAAATTGTCCATAGTAGCAGAATAGTGCAAGTCTGATTGTGCTGTACCTTCTCTCCCTCCCTCCCTTCTCCTCCCCTCTCTCTCACACACATACTTTAACATCTGACCTACTTCTGAGCACTCTCATTTGTTAGATCTTAAAAGATGGTTCAGCACCCTTTGTATATAGGAAACAGTTATTTCATATTTCCATCAGAGCCATCTCCCCAACTTTCTAGAGTAGGTACACTAGGCAAACTAGACCAGAAAAACAGTTCCACAAGAAAATCAGAACTAGATTGAGACTGGCTAAAGTAACAGAATCTTGCAAGCCTCATAGTGCTTTGTCTCCCTTCCTTCTTAGTGAATCAGAGAGATCCCCGCCTGAATATCTTCCAGATAATACTTTGCTTCCCAGAATTTAAAGAATGTATCAGCTGTTTCTGTTTATATAATAGTCTTGCATATTTGTCTCAAGGTCATCTCCCTTATTGTTTGCAGACATCAAATGACAGAATAGTAGAGTAATCTAGGAATTCAACCTTGATGTGTCAAATGCACATTTCTCTGATTTTTACCCATGGGTGGTGCTGTCATAAGCATTGAAGACAATTTTCATGTGACTGTAATGAGTAGTTGTGCTCCCCGTGTCTTCAAGGAGTTATTTCTAAATTGAATTAATTTTACCTAGATTAAAACACATAGCAAAAGTCCATTATTAAAAGCCACACTTAGATCCCAAGGAAAAGCTTGAGCAGGGTTATTAATATTGGCATATTGATTTAATATCTGTAATAAACTGAGTAGCAGATTCAGAAAAAAATTCATCACAAGAATTAATTTTGATGCAGTTAGATGAAATGTAAAACATTTCACTAGTAGCTTTAACCAACAGCACACAAATTTCCTGTACCTCATGGGAGTTGGGACCCCAAGGACCCCAATGTTTTATTGGTATTGAGCTAAAGTAGTTATGACAACTGATTAGCGTCAGCTAATATGGTCATATAGAAATTATGACTTAAATTTCTGAGGACTGCATTGGTTTTAAGAAATTGTAAAATCATATTGTACAGATTGTTTGGAATCCAGACTATATAGATACAAATGGACCTAATTATCCAGTCCCAGGCTGCTTTTAAAGATACATTTTGGTACCCCACATCTCTCTTCATACTTTTGGGAAGGATGTGGTATTTACCAAATCTGAATAGAAATTGTATGTCTTGAGTTAGTGGCATAATCACTTCCTCTGAACAGGTAAATAAAGTTATAGCTCTGTTAACATTGCCACAAGTACTTCCTTTTGAGCCAGGGGTGGCTAAACTATAGTATATAAAGTATACTCAGGATGGGCATGTGCATATTAATCTCTGTTAGTATATTTTGTTTTAATCAACTGGGAATGTTTGCTTTTCAATCAGCTATTTATTTCATGTAGGCTTTTAATTGGTCTCATGTTTTCACCTTTTTTTCCTTTCTGCTTATAAGTCTTCATCATACTTCTACCTACCTTTATATATTGTTGATCTTTTAAAATAAAAAAATATTTATCTGATTCACAGGTATTTATTTATGCCCAATAATTATATTAAGGATTATTAGATGTCCATCCATTCCATCAGTGTCCATAGTTCACCCTCTCACTCCCTTAATTATTTTGCATTAGCTGAATCAGTGATTCAAGTGTTTCAGTCTTTCTGATCCCTCATTCAGGGATAGAATTTAAGATATTGATGATGGTCTAAAGACCAATCTCTGAGCAGATGCCACAGGAATCATCCAGGATGTTGGGTCTTTTGTTTTTGTCAGCTTATTCATTTTTTTATCTTTACCAAGTTTGAATTGCAGAGGGAAATTGAGAGGAGTGAGGGCAAGGATAAAGTCATTTGTCGGAATAATTTTTGACCACCAGTCAACCCCTTCCAATTCTACTTGAACCAAATTATTATGGTAAATTTATTTTTTTACCAAAAATGCTGTAAAGAAAAAAGATTGTATTGCATCTTCTTCAACAACCACCAATGCATCTGTCTCACATGATCAGATGACAATGTCTCAGAAAACAGAGTCTTTTATTAACTGTTTACATATATACAATACAAACTGACTTGCACTACTTACCAACTGGATAACATGTTATATAATATGTTATAAGACCTGGGCATTTATGGTACAATAGATGGAATGCAGTCTGATAATAGCCATTGGGGAAGTTTACTTTATCTCTTAACAGCTTTGTTCTTTGTTGCCTACTGTAGTGTTGTCTATACACTGTGCTGTCTGCTGGCTTGTTTGCTTAACAAGAATGGTGCTGTCTGCTTTTTCTACAACACAGTGTCTGCCCTACAGGATCTCAGGAAAGAAAAGATAATAACTTTTTACATAAAACAATTGAAATGAAATTAATCATAGAACAGCATATAGCAGAATATTCAGTGAACATTTAAAATGGCAATGAGCATTTAAGATAAATGTTGGGAGAAATTCAGGATGCTAAATGTCATCAAATTTTTTGCAATATAAGCTTAACTTTAATTTAAAAAACAAACAAACAAAGCTGTCATCACCAATAGAAATGGAGTAAAACCTCTTATCCAAAAGTAAGCATTACAAAATGTGGAAGGAATGGTATTTTGTTTCCACACCTCATACGGAAGTATTTTTAAATCCTATTTACACCTTATATATAAAAGGATAAAGAAAAAGGTAACAGAAAGGATTTGTGTATAGTATGTAATTAATTAATTTACATTTTACCAACTGATTCTTTCCTCTTTCAAAATAACTCACTATGCTATGAGTTATGTCTTTTTTATCTGGATAACTTATATTCTGTGTCTCAGTAGATTTAAATAATAAATTTGTAGGTTAACATACTTTCAAACAAAACTCAGTTTTTACTTTCTAAGAATATTTCTGGGGTCTATGCAGAGCCCAATAAGCCTTCATTTCTGCCTGAAATTGGTACTTTTGTAATAACATGCCAACATTCCACTAATTATTATTTTTCAATTAAGTGGATGTAAAATAAATGAGTAAATCAAGTGAAACTTGTCTGTCACCAAGGGAAGCACCATGTTGGAAATTCGGGCCATAGTTGGCCATCAAGGTAGATGTTTATAGAATTTTAAATTTTCTGTTTTAAATTTATATACTTTTACCTCTATACTTAGAGTGTGTTGAACAAACAAAAACTGCCCTTTTATTTTTAACTCATACACCTTCAGACATTTCCATTGTTAGTTTATAGTTTAAAGTTAGGAAGTACAATATTGTACTTGACAATATTCATTAAAATCAGATGATAATTAAAACACTACAAGTTCATTTATTGCACAAACTGACTAGTGTCCCATAATAGAAAAGTAAAATTGAAATAATTAAGTTGGGGAAACAAAACAACACTGCCAGAACCTAGTGAGTTCATTTTCTAGTCCAGATCTGTTCCTTTTACAGTCCATGGGCCACATCCAGGCCACAAATGGTCCCAGACTGACCATCTGAGTAGGGCAGGGTGCCAGGGGCCTTCTAGAATAGTCCTAGTTCTGGACCCATGGAAAAATTAATTGCTCATCTCTGTTCTAGCCATTGAGTCATAGAGGAAGAGTCCTACAACAGCAATTGCCTACTGCAAGGGCAGGATCCATATCATCAATCCCCAAAGACTTTCTGGAACAGCCAACTCTTGGTTGAATGCCAAGATGTGGAGCTGACTTCACTTTGTGCAAGAATAAATGTGCGACCCTGAAAAATGTTGCAAGGCTTCTGTTTGCAGTAAAAGACTAATAGATGTGGGGTTCTGGAAATAGTTTCAATATTTTGTAGCCCTGGATTGATTCTGTGTATTTGGATTTATGCACTTTTCAAAAATAATAACATCGAATATTTTAACGGTAATATTACAGCAGTGGATTCCAAAGATAGATAGATAGATAGATAGATAGATAGATAGATAGATAGATAGA